TATTCAAGCTGGATTCAGAAGAGGACATGGAAAAAGGGATATCATTGCTGATGTCACATGGATCTTGGCTGAAAGCAGAGAATACCAGAAAGATGTTTTATTGACTATGCGAAGGTATTTGACTGTAGGGATCAGAAATTATGGATAACATTGTGAAGAATGAGAATTTCAGAACACTCAATTATGCTCATGAGGAAACTACATGGACCAAGAAGCAGCCAGTTGAACAGAACAAGGAGATACTGCTTGGTTTAAAACTAAGAAAAATGTACATCAGGATTGTATCCTCTCACCAAACTTATTCAATTTGTATGCTGAGCAAATAATCCAAGAGCTGGGCTATATGAAGAACACAGCATCAGGACTGGAAGAAGACTCATTAACAATCTGTGATACACAAATGACATAACCTTCTTTGCTGAAAGCAAAGAAGACTTGAAGCACTCACTGATGAAGACCAGAGACTATACCTTCGGTATGGATTACACCTGAACATAAAGAAACCAAAAATCCTCACAACTAGACCAATAAGAACATCATGATAAATGGAGAAAAGATTGAAATTGTCAAGGATGCCACTTTACTTGGATCCACAATCAATACTCATGGAAGCAACAGTTAAGAAATCAAATAAGTTATTGCACTGGGCATATCCGTCTTGGAAGAAGTAAAGTCAGAATGCTCCTTAGAGGCAAGGATGGTGAGATTTCATCTCACATACTTTGGAGATGAAAGTCCAGAAGGACATCGTGCTTGGAAAAGGAAAGGGCCATCAAAAAAGAAGAAAACCCACAGTGGCAACAACACTGGGATCAAACATAGTGACAGTAGTGAGGATGGCACATGACCAGGCAGTGTTTCATTCCGTTTTACAAAGGATCACTATGAGTCAAAACCAACTGGATGGTATCTAACAACAACAGAGTTGGCAGGTTATCTCTTCCCTACATCCAATTATATGTAGGGACTTCTGTGTTGCTGTGAAGCTAGAGGATAGGCTGCCAGTATTTCAAATACCAGCCAAGTCACCCACAGCAGGCAGATTTCCATGGAGCATCCAGACAGACTGGGAAGAAAGATAGGGCTATCCACTTATGAAAAAAACTGGTCACTGAAAACCTTATGAATAGCAGTGAAACACTAATATATTACTGGAAAACTTTATGACTAGCCATGAAACATTATCTGAGATAGTGCCTGAAATACAGCCCCTCAGGTGGAAGGCACTCAAAATATAACTAGAGAAGACCTGCCTCCCAAAAGTAGAGTCGACCTTAATGATGTGACTAGAGTAAAGCTTTTGGGACCTTCATTTGCTGATGGGGCATCACTCAAAATGGGAAGAAATAGCTGAAAACAGTCATTAATAATTGGAACATGGAATGTATGAAGTATGAATTTAGGAAAATTGGAAGCTGTCAAAAATTAAATGGAATGGATAAAGATGGGTATTCTAGGCATTAGGGAGCTGAAATGGACTGGTGTTGGCCATTTTGAATCTGACAATCCTATGAGCTACTATGCCAGGAATGACAAATTGAAGAGGAATGGTGTTGCATTCATTATCAAAAGGAACATTTCAAGATCTCTCCTGAAGTACAATGCTGTCAGTGATAGGACAATATCCATATGCCTACAAAGAAGACTGGTTAATATTACTATTATTCAAATTTACCCACCAATTACTAAAACCAAAGATAAGGAAATTGAAAATGTTTACCAACATCTGTGTGGTAGTTAAGGTTGTATGTCACCATGGCTGGGCCTGGTTGAGGGGCTGGGCAGCTGGATGTAGTTATTCTCTGTGGTTTCTCTGTGGTGAGATTGGCGATCAGTTCCATGGTGGAATCTACTGAAACAGCTGAATAGCTGCTTTAGCAATGTGGTCTGCTTCTAGTATATAAGAAGCAGCTTTGAGGAAGGTCTCTAGCTTTTTGGCACACTTGAACCCTGCATGTAGCCAAGTCACTGTTCAGCAGGCTGCTATGCCCTGCCAATCTTGGGACTTTTTCTGGACTTGAATTAGTGCCCTGCCATGTTGTTTGGTAATATCATTGTTGTTGTTGTTGTTATGTGCCATCAAGTCAGACTCGACTCAAAGCGACCCCTTCTTGGGTTTTCAAGATGGTATCACTACGGAAGTAGATTGCCCAACCTTCCTTCCAAGGAGTGGCTGGTGGGTTTGAATTGCCAGGCTTCTGGTCAGCAGTCAAGTGCCTTAGGCACTACACTACCAGAGCTCCCTTGGTGATATCAGGACTGTGGTTTTTCACTTGTCAACCTTAGGGCTGTCAGCCTCAGCAGCCAGTAGCTGCCTGAGTGGAGAAAAGCCTCCAGTTTCAGTGGGCCAGGAGCAAGAGGCAGTTGCTGAAGCCCAAGGCTGAGGGGCTTTCACCAGTCCCTAGAGCCTGGCACTTAGAACTCAGACTTTTAGCCTCCAAAAATTGTAAAAATAAACTCTTATTTGTTAAAGCCATCCTTTTTGTGGTATTTCTGTTAGAATGGCAGTAGGTAACCAAAACAATCTGCAGTCTAAAGTTGACCAAACATGCAATCAAGATGTATCAATAATTACTGGTGATTGGAATGAGAAAGTTAGAAACAAAGAAGAATCATTGGTAGTTGGAAAAAACATGGTCTTGTGATAGAAATGACACCGGAGATCACATGACAGAATATTGTAAGACCAATGGCTTATTCATTGCAAACACATTTTTTCAACAACATAAACGGTGGCTATACACATGAATCTCACCAGATGGAATACACAGGAGTTAGATCAACAACATCTGTGGAAAGAGGGGAAGGAGATGCTCGACATCATCAGTCAAAACGAGGCTGGGAGCTGACTGTGGAACAGACCATCAAATTGCCCATGTGCAAGTTTAAGTTGAAGCTAGAGAAAATTAAACTAAATTCACAAGAGCCAAAATATGACCTCGATTATATCCCACCTGAATTTAGAGACCATCTGAAGAATAGATTTGATGCATTGACCACCAATGGCCCAAGAACAGATGAGTTATGAAATGACATCAAGAACATCATACATGAAGAAAGTAAAACAGTCATTTAAAATGAAAGGAAGAAAAGACCAAAATGTATGTCAGAAGAGACTCTGAAACTTGCCTTTGAATGTAGAGTGGCTAAAACGAATGGAAGAAATGCTGAAACAAAAGAGCTGATCAGAAGATTTCAAAGGGCAACTCGAGAAGACAAAACCAAGCATTATAATGAAATGTGCAAAGACCTGGAGTTAGAAAACCAAAAGGGAAGAACATGCTCTGCATCTCTCAAGCTGAAAGAACTGAAGAAAAATTTCAAGCCTTGAGTCGCAATATTGAAGGAGTCTATGAGTAAAATATTGAATGATGCAAGAAGCATAAAAAGAAAATGGAAAGAATATACAGTTACTGTATCAAAAATAATTGATTGATGTCCAACTATTTCAGGAGGTAGCGTATCATTCAAAAACCAATGGTACTGAAGGAAGAAGTCAAAACTGTACTGAATGAATTGGCCAAAAAACAAGACTCCAGGAATTGAAGGAATGCCCATTGAGATGTTTCAACAAACAGATGCAGTGCTGGAGGTGCTTACCTGTTCATGCCAAGAAATTTGGAAGACAGCTACCTGTCCAAGTGACTGCAAGAGATCCATATTTGTGCCCATTCCAAAGAAAGGTGATCCAACAGAATGTGGAAATTATCAAACAATATCATTGATATCACACACAAGTAAAATCTTGCTGAAGATGATTCAAAAATGGTTGCAGCAGTATATTGAGAGGGAATTTCCAGAAATGCAAGACGGATCCAGAAGAAGATGTGGAACAAGGGATATTGTTGCTGATGTCAGGTAAATTCTTAGCTGAAAGCAAAGAATATCAGAAAGATGTCTACCTGTGTTTTATTGACTATGCAAAGGCATTTGCCTGTGTGGATCATAATAATATTATAGATAACATTGCAAAAAAAGAAAATTCCGAACACTTAGTCATTCTCATGAGGAACCTGTACATAGACCAGGAGGCTGTTGTTTGAATAGAACAAGGGGATATTGCATGGTTTAAAATCAGGAAGGGTGTGCATCAGGGTTGTATTCTTTCATCATATTTATTCAATCTATATGCTCAGCAAATAATCCAAGAAGCTGGACTATGTGTAGAACACCACATCAGGACTGGAGGAAGAACCATTAAAACCTGTGATATGCAAATGATACAACTTTGTTTGCTAAAAATGAAGATGACTTGAAGCACTTATTTTTGAAGATCAAAGACTACAGTGTTCAGTATGGATTACACCTCAGTATAAGGATAACAAAAACCCTTGCAACTGGACCAATAAGCAATATCATGATAAACAGAGAAAAGATTGAAGTTCTCAGGGATTTCATTTCACTTGGGTCCATAGTCAACCCCCATGGAAGTAGCAGTCAGGAAATCAGATGTCATATTGCACTGGGAAAATCTGCTGCAAAAGACCTCTTTAAAGTGTTAAGAAGCAAAGATGTCATTGTGAAGATTAAGGTGTGCCTGGCCAAAGCCATGGTATTTTCAATTGCCTCACATGGAACTGAAAGTTGAGTACTAATAAGGAGGAGAGAAGAAGAGTTGATATCTTTGAATTGTGTTGGTGAAGTACACTGAATATACCATGGACTGCCAGAAGAACAAACAAATCTGTCCTGGAGGAAGTACAGCCAGAATGTTCCTTGGTGACAAGAATGACCAGACTTCATCTCACCTACTTTGATCATGTTGTCAGAAGGGATCATTCCTGGAGAAGGATATCATGCTTGGTAAAGTAGAGAGTCAGCAAAGAAGGGGCAGACCCTTAACAAGATGGATTGGCACAGTGGCTGCAGCCATGGTGGGCTCAAGCATAGGCAGGATTGTGAGGATGGCTCAGGATAGGACAGTGTTTCATTCTGCTGTGCATAGGGTCACTGTGGGTCAGAACTGACTCGATGGCACCTAACAACAACAGATCCAATTATCAGCTCCCTTTCCCTGTCACCTCCATGGTGAAGATTTCTCCAGCATTCTTTATTCCATTCATGCATGCAACTTTTTGAAGTTCCTTTAAGCCCTCCTCTGGCTTGTTATTGACAATCAGCCACCGACCAGACTCCACCAGACACCTGATGAAAGAAGAAAACACAAATGCAGACAAACGTCACTTGCTTATTAGCCACATAACCTACGATCTAATACACATGTCTTTTCCACCTGACACATTCCACTAGACTCTTGTTCTCATTATCCAAAATAAGCCACAATGAGGAAAATATGAATATGACACCAGGTAACAAACACTCGTTGTTAGAAGTCAATCTTTGGCATATAATTGGATCCTCTTAAAGACAGGTCTTCTTGGAAGCTAGTAAAGTTTGGGTTTCAGGAGCCTATAATTGCTCCATAAATTATTTAGTTCAGGGACTGGAAACCACAACCCTCATGTCAAATCCAGCCCACAGAACTCTTTTGCAAATAAATTTTATTGGAAGACAGCATGATCATTCATTTACGAATTATCTATAGCTGCCTTTGCACTTAGGATACTGAGTTAAGTAGTTGTTAAAGATACCACATGATCCATGATGCCTAAAACATTTACAGGGTAGCTCTTCATAGACAAAAGAAAAAAAAAAAAAAAACTCCACAGATTCCCCACCTCTTGACCTAGGTTTACCTTCTTTTCTATAATAAAAATCGTTTCATGGGAATTTTACTTCCATAATATAGCACAGAGGAGCTCTGGTGGTGTAGTACCTAAGTCATTTGACTGCTAACCAGAAGGCTGATGGTTCAAACCTACCAGCCACTCCTCAGAAGGAAGATTGGGCAATCTGCTTCCATAGTGATACCACCTCAGAAACCCAGGGAAAGGGTCGCTATGAGTCGGATCCAACTCCATGGCAGTGAGTTTGGTTTTGGTTTGGAATGTAGCACAATCCCAATGCCCGGACAGAGGATCATTGCTACTCCGACTTTTCCATGTAAATGGCACAGACAGCAGATGGGACTATGAGTTTAGGTCCAGGTATGGATCAAATAGAAACCATGTGAACTAGTTTCTGTGTCTGTTCTCATGACAGAGGGCCTTGGAGATAAAATTTAAGAATAGGCTCCTACCTAGTGGTCATGGTTGCATGACATGGTGAACATAACCAATGTCACTGAATCATACATGCAAACACTGCAGAACTGGCCAGTGGTATATATATTTCTGTGACAATAAAAAAGAGAGTAAGTTCCTACCTTGAGGACAGAAAGAAGATGAAGAAGGGCAGAGATAGCACCAGCTGGAGTGTGCGCCACTCTTGAATAGCAAAAGCCAGGCCTCCCAAGAGTATCTGTCCCACACTAGCGGCACAGTGTCCTAGTGTTATCACCATGGCTTTGGATTCAGTCATTGCCCACTCCGACACTGAAAGAAAATTCACACATGATGTTAAATTCAGAGAAAGGTGAAACTTCCTAATCTACTTCAGCTCATAGAGAATGTGGAAGGCCTAGCAGGTTGACTTACTGAGCAAGCCACAGTTGATCAAAACACCCATGGAAGAAAAGCCAGTCAAGAAACGCAGTGAACAGTAAATAAGGAAGGTGGGAGCAAAGGCCACACCCGTTCCAAAGACAGCCAGTTGGAGGTAACACCATTTGAGCACCACTTTCCGTCCAAACCTACGGAGGAAGAAGCCAGATTATATTACCTTGGACAGAAATCACCTGCATTCACACTTAATAAAAGTATCGTATCTTGAAACCTAAGGCAATTTTTTTTTCATGATGGTAAGGATATATGTAACAGAACATTTGCCATTTCAACATTTTTTACATGTCCAATTCAGTGATTTTCTGTTTATCACACTGGGCAACCATCACTACTATCCATTTCCAAATTTTTCCAGCAGCCTTAACAAAAGCTCAGTACCCACTAAACAATCACTCCCTCATTTTCTCTCCCTCCTGCCTCTGTTGTTGTTGGTGGTGGTAAGTGCTGTCGAGTTAGCTCCGACTCGTAGCAACCCTATGTGCAGCAGAACAAAACACTGCCCGGTCCTGTGCCAGCCTCGGGTAACCACTAGTAAATGTTGGTCTCTATATATTTGTTCAATATATTTCATATAAGTGGGATCATATAATATCTGTCCTTTTGTGACTGACTTATTTCACTCAGCATAACATTTTCAAGGTTCATCAATAGTGTAGCATGGATCAGGACATCATTCCTCTTTATGGCACAGTAATACTCCATTGTATGCATGTAGGACATGTTCTTTATTTGTTGTTGATGGACATTGAGGTTCTTTCTGCCTTTTGGCTAATGTTAATAGTGATGCAATGAACACTGATGCTCATGTATGTGTGTTCTTGATTTCAGTGATTTGGGATATATGTGTAGGAGTGAAAGAGCTAGATCATATGGTAATTTCATGTTTAACTTTTTGAGGGCCCATTCAAATGTTTTTCGACAGTGACTGTACCATTTTACATTCGCACAAGCAATGGATGAGGGTTCCAATTTCTCCACATCCTCATCAGCATCTGTTGTTTTATGTTTTTGTTTTGTTTTGTTTTTTAATCAGTGCCATCTTAGTGGATGTTAAGTTCTACCTCATTATGTTATTTCCCTAATGGTTGATGGGGAGTCCTGGGTGGCATAACTGGTTGGGTGCTAGACTACTATCCAAAAGGTTGGCAGTCTGAACCCACCCAGAGGCACCTCAGGCCCGGCATTCTGCTTCTGAAAGGTCAGAGCCTTGAAAACTCTGAAGCTGTTCTATTTTGCATACAAGGGGTCAACATGAGTCAGAATCAACTTGACAGTAACTAACAACAACACTGGTTGATGACACTGAACACCTTTCCTTATGCTTGTCTACCATTTGTATTTCTTCTTTATTGATATAGCTATTCAAGTCCTTACCCATTTTTTAAATTGGGCATTTTGTCTTTTTGTTGTTAAGTAGTAGGAGTTATATATTCTGGATATTAAACTCTTATCAAATATGTATTTCCCAATATGTAGGCTGACTCTTCACTTTGTTGATAAAGTCCTTGATGTGCAGAAGTTTTTTAATTTTTATTAAATCCCATTTATATATTTTGTCTTTTCTTGCTCTGTCATTTGGTGTCATGTCTAAGAATTCATTGTTAAATACTAAGTCCTGAAGCAATTACTTTGTTTTCTTCTAAGAATGTTTTAATTCTTACATTTAGTCCTTTTGAGGTAATTTTTATATATGGTGTGAGGTATGGGTCCAGCTTTATTTTTGTACATGTGGAAATCCACTTGTACCAGTACCATGTATTGAAAAGACTATTTTTTTCCATTGAACAGACTTAAGACCTTTGTCAAAAATCAATGAACCATAGATGTGCAAGTTTATTTCTGGACTCAATTCTATTTCATGGGTCATTATTATACCAGTACCAATTTGGATAATTTGGATACTGTAGCTTAACAGTATATTCTGAGATTGTGAAATATATGTCCTCCTGTTTTGTTCTTCTTTTTACAAGATTACTTTGACTACACAGGGCCCATTACAGTTCTATATATATTTGAGGATTGTTTTTTCCATGTATGTAAAGAAAGATGGAATTTTGGTGGGGAATGTATTGAATCTATAGATTGCTGTGGGTGATGCTGACATCTTAACAATGTTTTCTTCTCACTCATGAACCCAAAATGTCCTTCTGTTTATTTAGATCTTTAATTTCTTTCACTGGATATTAATAGCTGTCAGTGTACACATTTTCACTTCCTTGGTTTAATTCATTTTTAGGTACTTTGTTCTTTTAGGTGCTATTATAAATAGAACTTTTTTCCTTTTTCAGAATGTTCATTGGTGATGTATGGAAATCCAGCTGATTTTTTGCAAGTTGATCTTGTATCTCAATGCTTTGCTGACTTTATTCATTAGGGCTAGTAGGTTTCTTGTGGATTCTTTGGGATTTCTATAAATAAAGTCATATCATTAGCAAATACGAATAGTTTTACTTTCACCTTCCCGATTTGAGTACCTACCTTTTATTTCTTTCTCTTGCCTAATTCCTCTGGCTGAAACTTCCAGTACAATATTGAATAGCAGTCATGACAGCAAGCATCCTTGTCATGTTTCTGAACTTAGAGGAAAAGCTCTCAGTCCTTCTGCACTGAGAATGGTGTTAGGTGTGGGTTTTTCATAAATATCCTTTATCAGATTGAGGAATTTTCCTTCTATCCCTAACTTGTTGAGTGTTTTTATCACAAAAGGATATTAGATTTTGTTAAAAGCCTTCTCTTCCATGATTTAGATGGTCATATGATTCTTTTTCTCTGTTCTATTAATGTTTCGTGTTACATGATTGATTTTGTAATGTTGAATCGCCTTTGAGTTTCTGGGATAAATCCCACTTGATTATGGTCTGTAATCCTTTTGACATGCTTTTGGATTCAGTTTGCTGGATTTTTTTTTTTTTTTAGGATTTTTGCATTAATATTCACTAAGGATATTGGTCTATATGTTTCCTTTCTTCTGATGTCTTTGTCTGGTTTTGGTATCAAAGTAATGCTAGCCTCATAGAATTATTTAGGAAGTATTCCACCCTCTTCCATTTTCTTGAAAAGTTTAAGAAGGATTGGAGTCACTTCTATAAATGTTTCGTAGAATTCCTTATTGAAGCCATATGGTTCAGGGCTTTTCTTTTATGAAAAGTTTCTGATTACTAATTCAATCTGCTCATTTGTTGAGGATTTTGTCAAGATCTTCTATTTCTTCTTGAGTCAATGTAGGAAATTTGTGTTTCTCAAAATTTGTCCATTTTATCTAAGTAACTAATCTGTTGGCATAAAATTGTTCATAGTATTCTCTTATGATACTTTTTATTTCTGTAGTGTCAATTGTAATGTCCCCACTTTCATTTCTGATTTTACATATTTACATCTTCTCTTTTTTCTTTGTCAATCAAGCTAGAAGAATGACAATTTCATTGATCTATAAATAAAAATTAATACTTCTGGTGTCACTGATTCTTTCTATTATTTTCTTGTTCTCTATTTCATTTATCTCTCCTTTGATACTTGTCTTTTTCCTCCTTTCTAGATAGTTTGGACCTGGTTTATGACCCTAATTACAAGTGACCTAGTTTCTGTTAGAACATATTGAAATAAATGTAGTCTACTAAGTTGAAATGTTATACCTTTTAGTATTTAGTATATACCACCTTAAGCTTGAACTTCCTCTTTCATCAGATGATTGGGTGGGAATTACTGCATTTATCTCTTTCTGATTTTCTTTCTCAACTATCTATATCTTCCATATGTATATATGTATGTATCTGTCTATATAGATCTACCTATCTTTTTTTCAGTAAACTTTTCTTATTGGAATAATTTTATAGAAAATTTGCAAAGATCATATTGAGAATTATTACATACTCTGATCCAGTGTCCCTTAAAGTTATCATCTTAGATAACCATACTACATTTCCCAAAACTAAGAAACTAATATTAGTACAATATGAATAACTAAATTATAACTTTATTCAGATTTCACCAGTTTTTCAGTCTTGTCCTTTTACTTTCTAGAATCGTCTAGGATTAATCACATAAATCACTATATCTTCTTAGTCTCCCCTGATATATAGCAGTTTCTCAATGTTTTTCTTCTTTTTATGACCTTGACAGATTTTAAGAACACAGATCAGGTATTTTATAGAATGTCTACGGTTGTTGTTGTTGTTATGTGCTGTCGAGTCTCGACTCATAGCAACCCCTCCTTGGGTTTCCGAGGCAGTATCACTACGGAAGTAGATTGTCCAACCTTCCTTCTGAGGAGTGGCTGGTGGGTTTGAACCGCCAGCCTTCTGGTTAGTAGTCAAGTGCTTTAGGGTAGTTAAGGTTGTGTGTCAACTTGGCTGGGCCTCATTTTGAGTGCAGAGGCAGCTGGATGTTATTCCCCATGGCGAGATTGATAATTGGTTCCATGGTGGAACCTGTCATGAGCCCCTGAGTAGCTGCTTTAGGGATGTGGTAGGAGAAGGTGTGGGAACGGTCTGCAGCTTTTTGGCATGCGTGGTACCTGTATGTAGCTGAGTCTTCAGTCAGCAGCCTGCCATGATTCCTGCTGACCTTGGGATTGTCTCTGGACTAGAATTAGTGGCCTGCCATGTTGTTTGGTAATATTGGGACTGTGCCATTTTACCTGTCAACCTTGGGCTTGTCAGCCTCAACAGCCAGCAGCTGCCTGAGTGAAGAGACATCTCTAGCTTCAGTGGGCCAGGAGCAAGAGGCAGAGCTGAAGCCCACGGTCGAGGGCCTTTCACCCAATCCCTTAAGCTTAGCATTTTGAACTCAGACTTCTAGCCTCCAAAAATGTAAAAGAATAAATGCCTGTTTGTTAAAGCCGCACATTTGTGGTATTTTCCTTAGAGTGTCACTAGAGAACCAAAACAACCTCTTACCAATTTTGGTTGGTCTGATGATTTCTGATCATTAAACTGGAATGGTAGGTTTCTGTAAAGAACAGTACAGAGATGAAATGTTCTGCAGATGTATGAGGTTAATATGATTTATCGCTGGTGATGGTAACATTGATCACGTGGTTAAGATAGTATGTGCCAGGTTTCTCCACTGCAAACTTATTTTATTCTCCTCTCAATTCTCTGTTCTTTGGAAGTGAGTGGTATACGCAGCT